GTATAAACCAATCATATTGAAGAATTTTACAACAGTTGCAAAGCTGCTTTCTCTGCTGAACGCAGCCAATGGCCCTTAATAGGGAATTTGGTTGGACACATTAGTGAAAGTGAGCATATTATTGATTTAATTCGATTTAAAATGAAATAAGAATATTTTAAATTATAAAATGCCATTGTCGGTCAAGACAGTTCTTTCTGCCCAATAATATTTCTTGTAAATTTATACTATTTCTAGTTCAAGCTAACTGGGGCCCGATTCTTGAAACTATGACCCTAGATATCGCATGTTATATCGCATGCGATATAGAAAATCGTATTCTTGAGTCATCTCGAATGGCGTGAGAATTGTTCGTATGCGACAAATATCGAATATTTGACATCGAGTGGGTACGACCACACGAAATGTAATGTCGTGTACGATAAATATAGTAACAAATGCTGTTTTTGACGAAAGTGACTAAGTTATATGACGTGAGTGAAGATAATATATAATTAAAAATAAAAAATATAATTAAAATATAATTATAATAAAATATAATTATAATTATAATATAATTATAATAAAATATAATTATAAAACAGTCAAAAAATCAAATATAATGTCCTATAAGAGCCGACACTGGTTGTTCGTGTGTAAAAAATTTTTATTCTATATAGTTAAGAATAATAACTCCTGACTCCTGACTACTGACTACTAACTACTGACTACTAACTACTGACTACTCCTAACTACTGACTCCTGCGTAATAATCTTCTGCGCAGATTCTTGACGCAAAATGGTAAATTATGAGAGGTTATGTTCTGTATATACATTACTACTATCCTAACATATAACGCTCAAAGTTTATATTTATTTACATTATATAGTGTAAACTACAAAATTTCACTATTAGTGTATCTCGTACATTGAGGGCCACTGTCACCAAGCTCAGTTAACTTAACTGGCCAGTTAAGGCTAAAATCTTAATATCTATTCCTGTTCCTAATATTTATTGCAGAAAATTTTCCACTTTGTAGCTCAGGATGTTTAGTCATGAATTCTAAAATTCAAAAATACATATTACAAAGTCTCAATAAGCAAGGATGAATTGAGACGGATTCTTCAGAAAAATGTATTTGCGAACGTTAAACGAATCCTTTTCGATCCGAATATATTTTTATTCTTTTATACAATTATCAAGCAGTTCTAAAATACATTATCGTCAATTGAAAAATATAATTGTAAGTCTTTAACCTATTTCAATGCGTTCTTGTTCGCTGCGAAGTCACTTACCAATTAAAATATTTTTCTGTTCATCATTAATGTATGTGCATCGTTTCTTTACTGTTGTCTCCATTTTGATTTTCTATTACTATATTACAACGTACGCTTTTAATTACTATTGCAATTTACATTTCATTATCTTGAAAAACTGTGAAAAACTCGACAGAAAAATACGGTTTATTACGTGGCTGATTCTTATATATCTCGATCGTGATTGGTTATTATATTATTTCAAAATCTGGCAACGCTGTACGACAATCGTATACGAGATTTATCACATATAGCATATCGCATGGCAATAAATGATTGTAGAGAATACGATTCCGAAATCGCATGCGATATTTTTCTCATACGATAAATATCGCATAAGTTCAAGAATCGACCCCCTGTACGCCGATTATTTGTCGAAGCTTATTAACAGCATCTTTCCAAGATGCTTATTTGCAGCAAATAATATTTAATTGCTTTTCAATTTAATTTGTGTGCTATGATTGGACCTGTAGCTTCAGTTTAAATTTCGTATAACAAATCAAACTAACCAAGACTCCTTATAAATCAAAAGAACTAAAAAGGAACATGGGCAATAGGAGTCAAGTGCGGAAGATACGACTGCGGAAGATACGTTGCGCAAATAATACGACTATATATATATATAAAGCGTAAAACTTCTTTATTTTACTAAACGCGCTTACATGTTTCGGCTCATTTTTGA